TTAAAAGAGAAAGAAAGTTGGGGGATTTGATTTGAAAATCAGCTTCTGGGATTATCACTGTAGTCATAATGAATTTTTTTATAATAACCATAAAATACTAAAACACTACCAAAATTTAAAACTTCATCCATAGTACTAAGGCAAAAAAAAAAACAAAAAACAAACCTGACAACTGCCATCCATGACATTCACCCATGAATGCCTAAATATGACTCTTGCAATCGTTCTGAGGTTACCCCTCAGTTGAGGGATGGGGGGAAAAAAAGCCTTAGTAAGCAGATATATGTTAAGGCAGCCTTACCAAAATAACTAGCATTTGTATCTCAGTAAAATTTCTACATGTTATGAATCTTGAGTTTCAGGCAACAAGCTAAAACCACAAATCTTAAATCTGTGAATGCACAGAAATAAATAGCACAGGGTTGCCTCTAGCCCTCATAGTACCCAGTGCAAATCAGAAACTGAATTAGTCCTTCCAGCCCAAACAGCTTCTTTGTGCATTTAGAAAAGCGTACTCCCATGTGAATGCAGCTCCAAGTCAGACAGCTTAGTGAGTAAAGTTCAGAGTGAATTTTAGTTTCCATTCTACTCCTAGTTGTGTGATGTTGGGCAAATTATTTACTTTCTTGTGCTTCAGTTGTATAAAACAGGAGTAATAATGGTATCTACCTCATAGGGACATTGTGAGTATTTCAGTTGACATATGTAAAGCACTTAAGAGAAAGCCCTCAATCCACATTTACTATTATTATTATCTATTTCTAAAGTATGCCTAAGAATTTTCACAATCAATTATAACTATGAAGGCATTTACCAAACAGTTTTTGTGTTTTATTTTTTTGAAGGAAGTAATAACATTTTGCAAAGTCTACAAAACTACTTACTGGATCCATTAAAAACACTCGAGAAGCTGCAGAAAGATTCAAACCAACTCCACCTGCTTTTAAGGACAGAAGCATTACAGTTGGAGATCCTGCTTCAGTGTTTTGAAAACACTGAATTGATTCAACTCTTTCCTTTTGGGCCATGGAACCATCTAAACGAGTAAACACAAATCCAGAGGCTCTAATGGGGGAGAAGAAAAGAGACAATACTATATTATAAAGAGAATTTAATTACAAATCTCTTCAATCATTTCTTTCATTCATTTAACAAATGTTTATGGAGCACCTATTAATATAGCCAGGCACTGCAGTCAATTTTTTCCTAATAAATTCAGGACTTCATCTTTAAAATCCTATGCTGCCAGAAATAGTCTCTATTGTGACTATGAATATTTTAGATAGATAAAATGACTAAAACTGGTAAAACAAACAGTGACTTTTCTTGCTATCCAAATCTACACACTTATATATCTTTTTACTAAAAGTGAAAAACACTGTTGAACTTACTTAAGTGGTGTTTCTATTAAAGACAGGAATGTCGTAAACTGAGAAACAACTAAACTTTTTGTGTTGGGATTCTTTTTTCTTAAGTCAATCAATGCATGCATTAGAGCATTAATCTGAAAAAAAAAGATACCCATTAGATTCCATTTTCAATTGGTTTATTTAAAATAAGTCCAAAATTTTTTGTTATAAAGAGAAAGGTCCTATTATATTATTTCTCTAAAATGCAAAAGCAAAAGACTACTAATTAAAAACAAATTAAGACTGAAAGAATACTATAATAATCTGAACCCATTCTTTTCCTTCTCAAATGCACCACTAAAAATAAATAAAAAAAGTCAGTAGTCACCAACAGAATGTAATATTCAAATGACAGGAACGAAAGCGGAATTATTTTGATAAAGGGTATATATAAGTGCATAACAAATATTCAAATATTTGCACATGTATATTTTACCTTCGAACTGGAGGTCCATTCCATATTAGACTTTTTCTCACCATCACATGCCAATTCTTCTGGAGTACATTCTAATAAATTGTCTCTATGTATTTCATTTCTGCATAAAGGGCATTTAGCATGTGGCTATATAAGAAAGAACAAAGTATGAGCAACATTTATCAGAGAAACAAATATAAATTTGACTAAAACTTAAAAAATGTATGGTAAATTCTGTATCTCTCATAACTAACATTTTATTAAACCTTTTATTAGATGCATCCATTTGAGATAAATCTGTAAATGTTGAACTCCAGACAGAACAGTGTTCTAATGTGGTAAGTGGGATGTGTGGGGAGCAAAAGATCTTGTCTGGCTAGCACCAAGAGCTTGAAACACTAAATATTATACCTTTGTAGGCAGGTAAAAAAACCGTGAATAACAATTTCTTGAACCTAAATACAATGCAACACATTATTTAGAACTATTCTTTAAAAAAAAATTCCTTCTTAATGGCTTATAAAGCTATCCAGATTTGTTAAATCCTATTGGGGGCTTCATTGAAAGCAACATCTGTTGTATCCATTTGTACCAAAACCTGCTAATAAAATAGATTATATATTAAATAACTAGATACTAAACACCATTCAATAAAAAAGATTCTGAAACTAAAACTATGTCAGAAGTTAGTATATAGTGGTGGTACCCTTTGGGAGGAGGGAAAGAGTAAATGATTGGGAAGGAGACCTGGAAAGTAGTTATATGGATGTATTTAGTTCATGATAATTCACTGAGCTATATAATAATGATTTGTGCATTTTTTTCTACATATATTTTAATGCTAATCTATAATTTAGACACAAAACTAGTATGTTAAATGTAGCATTAACTGGGGGAAATCTGTAATTGTCTACATGTATGTTA